CCGGGATTCAACTATTAGGGGAGTTTCAATAAAAAAAAAAACACGCAAATCATGCAAATTTAGCATTTTTAAACCAGTATACTAAAAAGGAAATGTTCAGCGATGGAAAAGAAAGATAGATATTACTTTTCAATATACACATCTCTGTTTATACAATCCCTCACATATTCTACTCCCAATTATTCCAGCGTAAAATGAAATAGTCTCTTTCCATGTCGACAGGCTGTTACAATTGGCTGTTATATACTCTTTCGCCGGTCTGGAAAATGTGTTTAATTAGCTCTCATTCAAGCGACAATGCATATATGGTATCACCCAACCCTGAAAACAAATTCTTAATACCACGCTGAAGCGTTTGGTAACCACGCTGAAGCGTTTGGTAATGAGTTGTCATTTAGTGTGATTTGAGTCGTTTTTTTTCTAGGTCAAACTTACAAATTGTTATTTGTGTTTGTATTAGCAATATTACCGAGTTAATCTATCTTTGTTGGAACATATACATCAATAATAATGGGTGGGCAAATTATGAACAGAAACAAAATTACTGTAGAAAATCAAATCAACATTAGTACCAGGTGAAAAGCGACTCGGAATGCCTACACCCGTCCACATTCTCGGAAGTGCAGCGTTTTAATATATTTTTTAGGAGTTCAATGTACGTGCTTTCTGTAGCGTGTTGAGTTATAAGATTTATTATATTCAGTTACTAGTAGCTTCGCGGTAGGTGGGTTTCGTATTGGGTGGGTCTCGCGGGAAGTAGGGCTTTGTCGCAGCACAGTCACTCTACTAGGAGTGACTGTGGTCGCAGTACCTGGTCCTTTCATCGTTGTTGAGAATTAAAGTTACCATCCTTATTAATTTGCCCTTATAATTTGTGCAGTTGCTGCACAAGTGAATATTCGTGGTGTATTTTACTTCTAACCGGACCGGAAGTGAGATTTTGTTAGTAATCTAAATATCCAAATATATTTTAGTATAAGCTCAGACTAGTAGTCTGAGGTATAAGGTAGTAATTAAACTCTTCAGTTTTTAAATAGAAATAAAAAACAACGCTCTTTTAATCTTATTGAGTGCAATGTTAAAATATCTGACATCGACGTAGCAATTAGTTTCCGGATCATGCGATGACTGACTTGTCGGAGATGTTAGAGGCTGCAGATTATATTTCATCTAACATTTAATTGTATCTGCAGGTTGCAGCTCGTGTAGAAAAAAAGATCACCAGGACTATCTGTTCCTGTTCGGATGGATCCAGTTCATATGGTTCACTAGGATAGGAGAAATGGTGCTTCTGGCAACTCTCTCGGGTTTGTCGGTTTTCAGTGCCGTGCGAAGTTAGAAGGAGCAGTGGTGGTGAGTGCGGGGAGTGGGTGTGGAAAGTGCAGATTGAACTCTCTTTTCATCGGGATTCAGATAGTTTCTACAGTCTGCTCCCAATGTGTATAACATGTATGTAGACGAAAGAGATTGTATCACTTTAATGACGCCATTCTTTACGTTGGATTCTTCGCCAAGTCCCTGTGTATTGAATGCGACAGGAAATCAAACGACAAAATTCGGTGTCTAGTCCCAGATTCTTGTAACTTGTTTGTATAAACTGCCGCATTTAAAGGACAAATTTCACACGTGTTTGAATTCAATTGAGCATTATATGATACGCAATGTATATCGC